TACCATTAGGACAGACCATGCTACGTTACGCTGATTAAGATCATTAAAGAACCCAGAGGGACAACTAGCACGCTGGATCAGAAAAATAGATTGTGTGACCCATTTCCAATGAGCCAGCCATTACAGGGTTCAGAGATGATTCATCTTTAGAGTCACCCATTGGCTTTGGCCATGTGGGAGCTCAGCTCTTACCATTTATGTATCTCTGAACTTTTGTGTCTCCAGTGCTTGGAGAAGGCTGTGTTTTCCTTCCAGGCAATGAATGTAGTGGAACAAGTCCTCAACCCAATTCTGGGGTTTACTTCTATCTTTTTATAGTTCCCAAAAAATACAACGAATTGGCAAACTATCATAGATGTGTTGCCATTGAACCACTTTCTTGTTGTCCCTTTTTCAAGATGGTAGGTTTCCTCATTCTGAAACAGATAATTTCTCTTCTGTTGTGAAGAATGGCAATGTTTCATATACTTTTTTTTCACGTTCCGATTCATCCATTTGTACTAACCATTACTCAGCATCTGATTCATTTGGGAGTCTTTATTACCTCATTTGCCTGGCTGGTTTAGCCTTATTCTTTACATCTACATGACATGAAACTTCTGCTTTACAAAGCTCTTATGTCTCCTTCTCTTCCTGTATGAGAGATTCTGTCTCTTTTGGGGCCTCTAGCATATGTACAGTTCCTTATTCCTCTAGAACATACCCATATGAATCCCCTTCAGTAGACTTTAGCAGACTGGTGGAATATGTCCAGAGATTTGCTGATTTCTATTAATTCTCTCCCTCCATCTCTTCTACTCTTCCTGTTTTGGTGACTTAATTAATTCTTTTTCGTCCATAACCAAAAAATATGGTTGATGGCCTGCCATTTCCTGGGAGCTTTAAGCTTTGTTGGTGACCAAATGTCTATCTTGGACCTGATCTGTCTAACAGAGTGGTGCTTACATAAATCCTCTGGTGTTTCAGTAAATTTGTTGTCATTTTGAGTGCCCACATATCAATGCATTTGTGACCCCCCTTGAAAAACCAAGTTTCTAATATTTTTTTTCCACTAGTTCCAGACTCTGCTGCCATACTGATGGATGTGCTGAGTCAGGATTAATCCAACCTCTTTCTGTATGCCTATTCTTCTCTTTGGCTCATTCCTAAGGCTGCCTTTAATTTACAGCAACATTTGCTGGGTTTTTCTAATTGCTCTCCTTTGGCCAACTCAGTCTTGTACCATCTACCCCCTCCACTTCTTGGAGGTCCCTATTACTTCAATCTATACACCCAGCTCCTACAACCATATACTACACTTTCATCTTTATGCACATTGAGTAGTCTGTTTTCTTGCCCAATCTTGCAGTTTATTTATAAAAGTGGGTGATTTATCGACACTGGTCTGTTAACCTTTCCCTTCCTCCAGGTCATTCAACTCTTCCTCATCTCACTTCCTTTTTCACCTGGCTTTTTGAGTGCAGTCTATCCATTTCTATGATTGCCAAGTACAGAGCAGCATTACTGATTACATTCTGTCTTTCCCTGGACATTCTCCTTTTCTTTCTCCAGTTCTTATGAACCTCTTCAAGATCTTTCTAGTCAGATGTCCTCCTTGACCAGTTCTTTTACCAGATTGTAATTTCAGTTTAGTTTTCAGGGCCCTCACAAGTACTCCATTTAATCCTTGGGCCATCTGTTCCTTGTATCATCTTTCTTTTAACACATATTTTCTTCTTCTTCTTCTAGCTTGCAGGAGACATCTCTCAGATATTTTTGCCTTAGATGCATTTTACATTTATCCCAAAATCTACATCAAATAAGGGATAACAGAAAGTGTTAAGCCTATCCTCCCCTACTTAGTACTCACTACTGAGATGTGTTTTTCCAAAAGACTGCTTCAACAGTATATATATATACCTTTTAAGCTGTATGAAAAATAAAGAAAGAGTAGTTGAACAACCATTGAACACCACAATTTCTGCTATCCATATTTGTGTTAACCCATTTTGTAGTCTCTCTGTGATGGACCTTATGCAGTTGAGATCGTTCCTGTTTGGTCTATGAACCTCTCAGTTATTCTCCCTGTGTGAATTCCTCTCTCCCTCCCTTTTCTAATAGAGTACGAGAATCCTTGCTTCCCTAGTAATAAGCTGCTGAGTAGGGAGTAGATATGGTGTTCCCCTTCGAGTCAGACTAACTTCCTGGTAATACATCTAGTAGATGCAAAGTTTGATGGGAAACAGGAGAGAGCTGTCAACCTAAAACAGTAGCACAGACCACTCCCAGTACTAAGAACCAGACCATATCCAGTGGTTGTGACCAGCTAGATGGGTCTTGGGTTTTTCTCAGGATGCAGGTCTGGGATTATCTGTCTGAACCTGCATATTCTTGTAAATATTTCTCATATACTACATGGTTTCATGCTTAATTTCCTAGCCACACTTACTTGTATGGTCTGCTGATCCTCTGTGATATATAGAGCAGTCTCCACATTCTGTCCACATTTATGACACTTTAGCAAAAAGCAGGAAGTTGTTTTGAAAGAATCTGTCTTTGTGAACAACTACTAGTATTGGGCAAAAGAGTTCTGACTACAGGGGATTGATCAGTGTTGTCCCTTCTAGGTCCCCTAAACTCCTAGTGGAAGACACACTCTTCGAGTTTTCCATTTCAGTTATTATATTTCAAGAAAGGAGTTATTTTTTTACTCTCTCTATTCACATGCCTTCCATCATCTTTTTAATGTATGAAGAGAGGTGAGTACCTATATGAAATACATTTTTAGATAGGGAAAATGTTAACTTTTAACAGTTTTAGGAGGCCTCTGAAAGAAAAGTAAAATGGAATGGAAGATGTTTGTTATTAAGCACAAAGCTACACAAAGGGCTATCTGTGCTCTGCCCACCACGGATATCGAAACCCGGTTTCTAGCAGTATAAGTCCGCAAACATACCACTGTGCCACTGGGGGGCAGGATTGGAAGAACTTATGAAATAAATATAAAAAAATGCATTGAGGGAGTGCTCATTTTTGGACAATAACATTAACTTTTCTTTTGAAACATATAACATGCTTTGAATTGACAGTTGAAAATCACAGGTTAGATTATGAAAAGTTTAAGATTTCTTTCCTTATTTTTCAAATCAATTCAGTTGACTTTGTGTTGTTTGGTTTATTGACATTATGTAATTTTAATTTCTTGAACAAGTTCTCTAATTCTTTAACTGACATTTTTTTAAAAGTATATCAGGGGAAACAGTAAAATTTTTTTCTTTCTTTTTTACTTGAAGTTCACTGTATGTATTATTGGTAGAGTATTTTGTATAGGTGTTACTGAATTTTTTATAAAATTAGTTATTTCACTTTTGTGTAGTTCGTGTTCTGGTAAAAATCAGTATATCAGGTCCTTTAAAATAACAGTTTGGTCCTGGAAATTGTTTTTCCAATAGCCTGTGCAAACCCTGTATTAAACATATTAAGATCCATTAAGAACTTCCACAAGTAATAAGATCACCTTTATTTTACTATGATAATATTTTCCTACACTGAAAATGTATTTCCAATATATTCTTACCTCCTCTCATGGAATAGCCTTCTCCACCTTGTACTGCCCTCAATATGCACTCGCCACTAACCTTGATGCTCCAACCTACCCTCATGTGAGGCAGCTATATGACAGAATGCAGATAAGCATGTGACAATGCTCCACTAATAGGAGTGTGACACAACTCCTAGCACAGCCGACTCCCTCTGTGCAGCTTAGCCCAAATTCACATTGAGTGAGCAACAGAAAAGAAAAAATTACACTAGAAGTATGGAGGAAGGGTGGGAAGTTGAAGAAGAGGTGAGAATCTATTGGAAATCCCACACTGACCTGGTTGAGTGACCAGTGTAATGGTACCTAAATGAGCTCCCTTCAGAAAGCACCTAAAGGAAACCCATGGAGTGTGTGAATAAAGAGTATGTAAGACACCACTTCTGAGCCAGGTACACTTTTTGTCCAATCAAATGATGTGACACAATAAGAGTAGAATCATAGTATGGACTCCTGGTATAGAGTGGCAAGGGCATGGTAGACTGTAAGAGGGAGTTCTACCTTAACCAACACCTGCAGGGATAGGAAGAAGTGTCCTCTACTGTTCACCTTAGACACAGAAACAACAAAGAAAGAAGATCTTTCATTCTAAGGACCTGCATCATTATGTGTGCATGTCCAATGCAACCAATACCAGTACCCTCTGGAAACTGACATTTGGACAACAGTAGGAAGCTGAACAGCGATGCGACAGTTCAACTCCAGTCAAGAACCAGGCAGCATTGGGAATTAATAGTCCAGTCCGTGGTAGGAGGAGGGTACCTGAGCCACTCACATGTGAGGACTTAAGTGAGGGTACCCAGCCAGAGGGGTGAACTGCATTTTGGAGGAAATCATCCAATCCATAACCAGGCAGCATCTGGAATAGTACATCTGGTCTGAGGTAGGAGGAGTATCTATACACCATCAATACTAGCAGAACACCTCTGCCATACTCTCAACTAAGTGGAATTGAGCACACTCAGGAAGAAGCATCTATGGTCCACCACCCCAGCAGCTAGGAGCTGGTAATTGGTAAGGACTACCATACTCTAATGGAAGAAGGAGGAGGGATGCACTGAAGAGTCTGGTGGAACAAACACCAGAGATAGTGCAACAGGGGACCGCTAAACTCTCTTTTTGAAAATAGACTGTTCCTAATTCAGTCAAAAGAAGGACTGGCAGGGATGGGCAGCAATACCCTTCTGCTTTACTTATGTTAGTCCATGAATGTACAGTTTGGGTTTGTTTCAGGAAATGGGATGAGGGGACAGAGGTGAAGGGGAACTGAAACAAAAAACGAGCCTTTTGGAAAGAACACACAGAACCCAAGGGTCTGTGGTGAAGGACTCCCAAATGGTAATAAAGCCCAAAAGCTTGGCCCCACCTTATCTGTACCTACCATGTAGTTACTGGGATTGTTGGGGGTGCTGAAGCCATCAACAAACAAACCGACAGCGAACCTCGGAGACCTGTGGAGCAGGCACTGGTAAAGAAGAGGAAGGAGGGGGACTAGAGACGGGAACAAGTACAGGATGAGGTAGAGACAAGCGGGAAGCCAATGAGGAAAGGGAGGTGTGCAAACATACAGACTCGACTCTGGTCTCCAATGATTCAGGAAGGCCCACAAACTCATCTTGCTTTAAAAATGAAGCCATGTGCAAGTCCTGTAAGGAGGTTGGAGTAAATACTCGTGGAAATACAACATATACAACAGAGGAATCACATGGGTAGGGAAAAGGCAGAAGAGGTCAAGTGTGTGGGCATAGAAAAACAAAGAAACAGGGCACAAGTCACCATTCTGTATCAAGAACAACATAGCATTATATGTCATTCAACAGATTAAAACTTTGCTTTTCTATTAGTTATAAATGACATAATATAAAATTTCAGACAAACTTACTGGCAAATTGTGTAAGAGGATATGACAGGTGCGCATGGCAAATTGATCTGATTTTCTATTTCATAACTTTGTAAGCAAATAATATTGAAGGCTATAAAAATTAGACTTTGCCTTAGTAATATTATTATTACAATGAATAATTTACAGTAAATTCCTTACTTTAGAGAGGGGTGGTAAATATCTTATAAAATTAAGAAATCAAAACTTATATAATATTAAAAGTTGATTTATTAACTATGCTTTGATACCAAGTTTATTAGTGCACAATGAAAATAAATTAGTTTAATTAAATTGAATGTTACTCTGTAAAAGGTCTTGACATGCTCACATTAGCTTACCTGTAGTAATAGGTTAACTAATACCATTCTCAAAAGAGCATTAAAAATTGCCTTTCACATTCAGTAATTAACCATCACAGAGTTTCTAATTTGTTAAAAAAGACTCTCAGGGGTTTTTAATTGTTTGCTAGGTTGTGTTGAAATCTTTGTTGATAATCAAACCAAAAAAATCTTAAAGATGTACTAACCTTTTATTCCTGGAGGTCCTCTTAGACCTAAATCTCCCTTTTCACCAGACTGTCCTCTCTCTCCAGGCAATCCTCTATCACCCTTCTCTCCTCTATATAAGTTTAGGGGTGGTTGTAATCCTTTATCTCCTTTTGGACCCTTTTCACCTTTCTCACCTTTGGTTAGAATAATAATAAGATATTAGAAACAATTTCAAATGGCCATGGAAGATGTAACTTCCCATAAGTTGATGATATTCAGTTTTGCAGGAAAAAGCTAGATTTCAAGAAACATTCTACAAATTGCTTTCACTCAAGTTAGTTTTTATTCTGGCAAGAGTATACCTTCTTTTACGCTCAGTTCAATGTCTTATAAACTTCATTATTATTACAAATTTATTCAATTAGTGCTAGAAGGCAAAAAAGCTATATACATAGTGTGTGTTGGTTTCTACTGTCTTCTGAGAGTTTGACAAACCAAGACTTACCTGGTCTTCCAGAAGGACCACTAGGGCCTGGATAACCACGTTCACCCTTGAGACCAGGAAAACCTGGACTTCCAGGTAAACCAGCATTTCCTTTGTCTCCCTTAGGTCCATCAAGCCCAGAAAATCCATCTTGACCTTAGTGAAACAAATGTTCAAAATACAATATTTTCATAAATATCTGAAACAAAAAAGTGCACTTTCTAACAAAAAGTAATAATGTTTAAAATTACTATATATATATATATATTGTTACGTCTCCAGTCGTTAATTGATTTTCCGTAAATTCATTCCGACGAAACTTTAGCGACACAAGTCCTTTCTTAAATAAAACTGGTTCATTCTTTCCGAATACAACTTTACGATACACTCAACTTCAACAGTCGTGCTATAACAAACTATAATTCATGTCTCACGAGCTCGACTTCAACAATACATCTCTCTCTCTGACTGCAGTTCAATTACTCATTACCTACACATTGTCCCGTCACGCTGTCACCTTCTTATATATACCAGACTACCCTATATCTAGTAATCTCCCAACAATTCCCGAAGATTCGAGAGAAGGAGTGGCGTGATACTAGTCACGTGACCTCGCTGATGCAACAATATATATATATCATCTGTAATATTGATCTTGTAATCAGTATGACTTTTATATAAGATTTTATTTTAAGACAGCTGACAGCTGATAAGAAACTCAAGGTTCTGTTTCATGTAACTTATAAAGACAATTAAAATAAATGGTGAAGAATTTATTTATGATAATGAAGCTCTTCATTAATATAAAAATTTAAACAACTCATTACAAAATCATAATCATTCTAAGAAAGGACAAATCCACAAAAAATATGCTACAAAAGAGAGAAAACTTGTTCAGTGCAGTATTTCTGTCAAAAAGATATTTTTACTGAATTGTATTTCTGTACTAGTATTTTTTATTTCTATAAAAAATTTCTAGTTAGTATTTTGATACAATGGGCCTACATATGTTTAGCAACTTCTACAGGTTTCATAAAGAACTTTTAATTTAATTTAAAATGTGTTCAACAAAGACTATAAGTTTTAGTCATTGACACTATTGGTAAAAGCTACTTAAACAGACTTTACACTCCTTCAAAGCTGCAGTTGGATTTTTCTGAATTTATAGTGTTGCTCAAATTTTCAACTTGCAAATTACAAGAGTTCATAGTTTTCAGTTGAAAATAAATGATTTGCCTCACAGTTTTTATTTTAAAATTGGTTTTAAACCACTGATTCATTTTAACAGTGTTATCAGATTTTAAGATAATATTTCTACACTTCAGTATTTATGGGTTATTTATTATTACCTCCACCACCAAAGGTGGATGGAGGTTATGTTTTCACCCCTGTCTGTGTTTGACAGCAAGATTTCTTGAAAATGGCTGAATGAATTTTGATGAAAGTTGGTATACATTTGGACTATGATCCAATTTAGAAGTGATTAGTTTTTATGAGGGTCAAGGTCACGAAAATCCTGTCTGTTAACATGGGGACCGATTTTTCACACTATTTTTGCTCTATAAAGCAGTCAAAAGTGATCAGACTGAAAATTCGTTGTTTTTCAACACATAAAAAAAAAAGTTTAAAGTCCAGTGTCATGAACTCTTTGCACATCTATCAACAATATCCTATAGAAAATTATGGTATATCTATTTGTTTGAACTTCAAAATTTTAAGATTACTGTACCTGGAGGACCAGGTTCTCCTTTTTCTCCAACTGGACCAGGCTGTCCAGGATAACCTCTTTCACCTTTGTTTCCAGGGAAACCTGGTAGCCCATCAATACCCTTAGGCCCAGGAAGTGCTTGTCCTGGAAACCCAGGTAAACCTGGTGCCCCTCTATCACCTTTTTGTCCAGCAACTCCAGGTAGACCTGGTTCTCCTGAAGGCCCTCTTATTCCTTCTCGGCCTGGAAATCCTTTGTCACCTAGATGAATTCATTAACTCCAAATCAAAAACAGAATATATCAACTGAATTATAAGCAAAATATTTTCTTACTTGGTATTCATAGTAATTTCTACAAAAATATGGAATAACCTCGTTGGTCATCTATGCATTTTTTTTCATTTGAACACTCATCTACCTAAGCCATATAATGACTGCAGTTATCAGGAAAATACAGCTTACAAAATCAAGTAGTAAAGAAATTCGTCAGATTAACCTAACCAAAACAACATAAACTAAACCAGGTAATTTATGGTTACTCTAGACTCAAAAAGTTATATAAAATATGTTAAAGATAGAAAATATTATCAATGTTTCAGTCCAAGGGCATTCATTTAATCCTTACATAAGTTGTTCAGCTAAATCGTTGACCTTTCTTTTTCTCTGTCTTTAAGCTTTTGAAAATCAGTCTTCTTACTTAAGAATATCTAACTAGGAGAGACTGTTAGTGAATCTCATTAAATTCCTCTAATACTCATTTAAAAAAGATAAAATGTACACACCCTTTGGACCAGGTTCACCAGGTATTCCATCAAAACCAGGTCGACCTGATTGGCCAGGTTCTCCTTTCTCTCCAAATCCAGGAACTCCTGGAGGTCCAGGCTTTCCAATAGGCCCAGGTGGCCCTAATAATAAAATAAGATATAGCCTAGCTGATGTTGGTTAAAATGGCTTGTCTTTCTGACAGTATATTCTGCTACAAAATATAGTTTACCTGATGTTGGTTAAAAACTTTCTGAGAGTTTATTACACAAGAAGATACAATCTAATTGATTTTAGGTTAAAACAGCTTGCCTTCCTGACAGTTTGTTACACTAAGAGATAAAGTCTAGCTGAGGTTGGTCAAAACAGCTTGCTTTCAGTCCTGACTATTTATTACATTAGAAGGTATAGTGTACTGATGTTGGTCAAAACTACTTATTTTTCTGTAACTTTATTAATTTAGATTATACAGTCCAGCTGACATTAATTTATAGTTTATTGAATGATAAATTTAAGTAATGAAATTCAGATTTCTAATCTGTATTATAAACTTTGCAAAACTCTACCTGTAAATCCTCGTTTCCCATCCTCTCCTGGTCTGCCATCTAATCCATTTTGTCCACGGTCCCCCTTTATTCCTAATAGATATATTTATTTTAGGCACACATTTTTATTTTATACTACCTGTTAAAATTTATAAATTGAAAAACAAACATTGTATTCTCAAACAATTCTAATTAATTTCAAAATATAAATAGTACTTAAACAAACAAAACATAGTTCAACTCTAAAAGATAACATTAAATGAAATACCAAACCTAAGAACTTAAACTAAATTCATTAAAACTATTATCACCAATATATTTAATCAGCCTAAATACAATAGTAGCTAACAAGAAAATAATTATAACTGTATGCTCACAAAAGCATACAAGAATATTTTATACCTGGCAATCCAGGAACTCCATCAAGTCCTCTGTCACCCTTTACTCCAGGAGGACCTGTTAAACCAGGTCGTCCTACCTCTCCCTTTTCACCCTTTTCTCCTTCAACACCTGAACAAATTTAAATAAAGCTCAAGGCTAAGTTTCGCAACACAACTTTGTTCATTTTCTTTAAGTCACACAACATCAAAAACTCTTACTTTATTGAAGACTTTTATACAGATCTGTATCATCACTATTAGAGCTGGATGATTAAATCAATTATATCATATAAATGATTATCTACAAGCACCGATGACATCAATTATCATCATGGAAAATAAACAATTAATCAAAATTACAATTAAATCATTTTATGTTAAGAAAATAATTAAATTTATTGTTTTTAATTATTCCAACTATCCAAGTAATAAAAATATTGCTATTATGATTTCTCTTTATTATTTTTTATTAATTCAGATTTTTCAGCTGTGTCATGAATCACAAAGAATCAACTAATCAAAATTATTGTTTCTGATTATTATTATTTTTGATTAATCAAACTATCCAAGTCTCATGCGAGAATAATCAATTAACTAAATGTAGTCAATTAATGAGCCCAATGTTTATTCAAATATCCAAATTCACAAATTGCCATATATTTGTTTAAATTATAAATATAAGATTTTCATTACTTATGGACTATTACTCTGTAGTGCAATGTCCACTGTAATAAAATGTTTGGTAAAGTCTATGTTGTACCCTCCCTTTTTTGTGTTTTCCAAAGTACATCAACTGTGAGCAAATAATGATTTGATGTTTTGTCTTGATTGGGTCATCATTTAATTTTTTCTAAATCTCTTTGGGTCTGAGATCAGAAACAAGCGTGAGATATTTTTTCTTATATTTAAAGGTGGGAACACTATAATTAATTTTAAGACAGCCTCGATTGTATTACCAAATGATAATTCTTGACTGTCATAGTAAACTATATTACTCTTTTCAATTTTATTCCACATAGTAGCCTTAATATTTAGTTATTGACTATTTGGAGATTCACCTTAATATTTAACTAATCATTCCTGCAACCACCATAAATACCCTCAAAAAAAACTTTTGTAACATGTTTTGTACCATTTTCAAAATCTTGTATCACTAACAGAATTATAGGAAATTGCCTGGACTTTTGCAGATATTTAAGTAAAGAAGTAATTCATCCAAACCCCAAAGTAATAATATACTTCCATTTGTCACATAGTAATTACTGCTCATATAGCTTTTGACTGTTGGTCATGCATTTGGAAACATACTTCAAATTAAGTTGTGAACATGGCCTTTTATGACTTCTGCAGATCTAAATATGTAGGAATTATTTTGTATCAGTTTGAAAGGAGGATCATACTTTATCTGCAATGGACCAATATGTCCTTGGGTTATTTCCAGTGACAAGCTATTTAACTTTCTTCATTGCCATCTGTGTGTAACAGGAAAGTCAATCAAGGAGTGGGCCATTATTTCCTTGTTGAAATCACATCCTTTCTTTATATTACCAGCATTGTTCAATACTAGATGTATATCTTTCTTCAGAACACTAAAACTTTGTACCTTCTATGTTTTTACATTTGTGTACTAGAAAAACGTGATTCAGGAAGTTTTACAATATAACCTTCCCAGAAAGGGTCAGTTTTACGCACCATCTGCCCTTTAGTAGTATGCAAACGCTACATACCTCATTCTCCTGCAGTGTATATCTCATCTCTATAACATGTTTAAATTTTGCTAAGAGCTGCTTATAGAACTAGCTAAATACAGAAAAATTCAACTTAAAGTTACTTTCAGTAGCCTGTCAGGTCAAGAGACATATATCTACTGTTTCATAGGATGGTTGTATTGTGTTTTACTTTACCTCATGTAAGGAGGACAGTTTTACAATTCTCATGTGGAATGGAGATAATTCCACATTCTAGTGCCTTTTTCTGATTAGTTAGTTGTAGAGAATGTGCTTTGTGCATGCAGTTTTGGCACTTTAAAAAACATTGCTTTTGACTTCTGATGAGTTTTTGTTTGTTTAGAATTTCGTGCAAAGCTACATGAGGGCT